ATATAAAGAATAATAAAAATAGGTGAAATATTTGAACAGAAACTTCACTAAAATATATATATGAATAGTCAATAGACACCTTAAAAGGTACTAAATATAATTTGTCATCAAAGAAATGCAAGTTAAAAACCATAACAAAATGCCACTAGACACTAATTGGAATGGCTAAAATTAAAAAGACTGACAACACCAACTGAGATTATGGAGTAATTGGGTTTTTCATATATTGCTATGGGAATATAAAATTACACAACCATGTTGGAAGTCTGTTGGGAAGTTTCTTATTATGTTATACATAGATCCACCCAATGATCCATTAATCCTGTTCTTGGGTACTCATCCAAGAGAAAGAAAACATATGTTGGGGCACCTGGGTGGCTCATTTGGTTAAGCATCCAACTCTTGATCTTGGCTCAGGTCATGATCCCACGGTTTGTGGGATAGAGTCCCTGCATTGGGCTCTGTGCTAGCAGTGCAGAGCCTGCTTGGGATTTTCTCTCTCCTCTCTCTCTGCCCTTACCTGCACATACTTGCTCGCTCTCCCTCAAAATAAAAAATAATAATAATAATAAACTTAAAAAACAAAAAGAAAACATATGTCTACAAAAAAAGTTTATGTAAGATTGCTTATAGCAGCTTTATTCATAATAGCTCCAAACTGGAAACAGCCCAGATGTCCACCAACAAGTCAATGAATAAACAAATGATGGAGCACAAATCAGCAATAAAAATGAACTACTTATACACATAATAACCTTGATGGATCTCAAAAACATTGGCAACTGAGAGAAACCACACACAAAAGAACACATATCAACAAACCCATTTATATGATATGCTATCACAAACAAAACCAATCTGAGGTGATAGAAATCAAACCAGTGCCTGGCTGTGGTGGGTTGAACTTAGCCAGAGAGTACAATGAGGTAACTTTTTTGGTTGATGGATATGTTCTCTATCCTGATTGTTGTGTTGGTTACATTGGTGTGTATATTTCTCAAAACTGATTAAACTGTACAGCTAAAATCTATGAATGTCACTGAATTTTCTCACAATTAAAAAAATGCTGCAATATTTATATTATCAGGTTCATTTAAAGAGTGATATACCACTGTAATTTCTTAACAGATATTAAGGTATAAGTGATATACAACAAACTACACATATTTGAAGTATACAATTTAATAAACTTTAAAATATCACCATAAGTAATGAATATATACAATGATATATGATGGTAATGAATGTATTCATCACCCTCAAATGTTTTTTCATGTCCATCATAATTCTTCCTTTCTGTTCCTCTTTGCCCCTCTCTCCTCCTTAAGAAACTACTGATTTGCTTTATATCCCTTATATAGATTAGTTTACATTTCCTAGAATTTGATATAAGTGTAATCATGCATTATGTACTCTTATTTGTCTGGATTCTTTTCATTTAGCAGAATCATTTTCAGGTTCATTAATGTTGTATATATCTATAGTTCATTTCTTTTTATCACTGGTGAGTATTCTATTGTATGAATGTCCTATGCTGTGCTTATTCTTTCATCTGTTGATTGATATTTATTTCCAGTTTGGGACCATTACAGATAAAGTTCGCATGAACATTTATATACCAGTTGTATATACCAGCTAAAGTGCTGCTTTAGCTGAATCTCATAAGATTTGATACGTTGTATTTTCATTTCATTAAAAATATTTAAAAATTTTTGAGACTTCTTCATGGACCCATGTGTTATTTATAAGTGTGTTGCTTAATATACACATATTTTGGGATTTTCTAGCTATATTTCAGTTATTAATTCTAATTTAATTGCATTATGGTCCAGGAATATACTTTGCATGATTTCTATTCTTTTAGATTTGTTAGGGTTTTTGTTTTTGTGATCCATAATATGGTCTATCTTAGAGAATTTACAATGATACATGCAACAAATATGTATTCTGGTGTTTTGGGATGGAATGTTCTATAAATGTCAGTTAGGTTAAATTGATAATGATGTTCAGGTTGTCTGTATCCTTATTGATTTTCAGTCTACCTGTTCTATTACTTATTAAGAGAGAAGTGTTGAAATATGAACTATAATTGTGGATTCATTTCTCTTTTCAGATATATTGTTTTTTGTTTCACCTATTTTGTTAGGTACATACACATTTTGTGTTGTTATTACTCCTAGAGGATCAAGTGCTGATTTTTTCAATATATACAGGCAGAAATCTGGGAAGTATATGTGAGAATAGATATTAAAAGTGTTGGATAATAATGGAAAAAATATGAAGATACATTAGGACAAATTTATTGACATGGGTCCACTAACCACAGATTCTGGATTTAGTGTCATAGCTCTGGGTATCAAAATGGCTCTAACACTTGATTTTTTGTTATTGTTGTTGCTGGCTGATAATGCATCAAAACGTAGTTTTCACTAAATAAAGTTGAAATGTCAGAACTGCTTTGGTACGCTGTAGAAAAAGGTATCCAAAGGCTTCAGGACATTGGAATGTTAGGGTGGATTTATCACAATGACCTACTTACCCACTGTGGAAGGGTCAAGATAATACACCTTTTAGCACAATCGTGAAAAGTTAATTGGCTGGGTACCCCAACATCCTTGAAGAATTCTGTGGTCACTGTTCAGAAATTACAGTGGGAACTGCTGCCAATCAACTGAGATCCTGAGTGGCAGGGCATAAGTGGCAGCAATTAATCACCAATGAAAAGGTAGGCATGGTTACTGTTGGGGGAAAAGCAGTTATCAGGATAGTCAGATTCACAGAGATCCACGGCATTGGCTAGTTGATCACCATACCCTTAGAAGAGAAATAGGTAGGTGCTGTATTGATTTGGTAGGACTGCCAAAAAACAAAAGAAAACAAAACAAAACAAAACAAAACAGAACAAAAACCTTCCCCGTAGTTCTGGAGGCTGAAAGCCCAAGCCCAAGGTATCAGTACAGTCAGCTTTCCTCTGAGGCCTCTGTTTTTGGCTTGCAGATAGCTACCTTCTTGTGGTCTCTTTACATGTTTTGTTTTGTTTTTTAATCCGTGCTTGTACATCCCCTGTGTCTCTTGGTGTTTCTAAATGTCTTCTTCTTATAAGGACAGCAGTCATATTTGATTAGGACCCAGAGTAATGGCCTTGTTTTACTTAATCTCCTCTTTAAAGCCTTTGTTTCCAAACCCATTATATTCTAAGGTATTGGGGATTAGGCCTTCCAATATATGAATTTTGAGGAGACAATTCAACCCATAAAATGTGGTCCTCCTAAATTTTTACTTGATCTGTATAAACAGAAGTGTCTTTTCTTTACAAAAGAAAAGTCATAACCCTTTAAGTAATTTCAAGACTTGTATTAATTTTCAGACCCAGAACTCCTTGGGTAAAGTGGAGGCTGGGTCCCTTTGAGAAAATATTTCACTACACTACCCAAAATATATACTGTTAATATTTCTCTCAGTCTTCCCCAGAGGGATCTACAGCCTTTTATATGAGTGACTGTGTGTGGCAAAACAGAAAAATAAGAAATTTCAGGGATTACTGGATACTAGCTCTGAACAGATACCCAAAGCATCACTATTATCTTTTAGCCAGACAGGACTTATAGGGGTCAGGTGACCAATGAAATTTTAACTCAGGTCCATCTCACAGTGGGTCCAGAGTGTCACTGAACTCATCTTGTAGTTATTTTCCCTGTTCCAGAATGTATACTTTGGAATAGAAATATTTAGCAACTGGCAAAATCCCCACATTTGATCCTTGAAGTGTGGAAGGAACGCTATTCTGGTAAGAAATGGATAAGTAGAAGTCACTAGAGCCTCCTCTACCTATGAAAATAGCAAACCAAAGCAATACCATGTTTCTGGAGGGACTGTAGAAATTAATGCTACCGTCAAGGGCTTGAAAGATGCAGGAGTATTGACTCCCATCACGTCCCCCATTCAACTCATCTGTTTAGCTTGCATAGAAAACACAGGATCTTGGGGGAATAATGGTCGATTACTGTAAACTTAACCAGGTGGTGACTCCAATTGCAGTTGCTATTCCAGATGTTGTTTCCTTGCCAGAGCAAATTAACACAGCACCTGGTACCTGGTATATGACTACTGACACAGAAAATGCTTTTTTTTTTTTCTTTTTTCTTCAATACGTGTTGGTAAAAGCCACTGGAAGCCATTTGCTTTCAGCTGGCCAGGCCAGCAATACACCATCACTGTCCTACCTCAAAGGTATATCAGCTCTTCAGCTTGTCCTAATTTAGTCTGCAGGGACTTTTCCCTTCAACAAGACATCACCCTGGTCCATTACATTGATGACATTATGCTGATTAGAGCTGGTGAATAACTGGACTTATTAGTAAGACATTTGCATGCCAGAGGGTGAGAAATAAATCTGATCATTTTTAAAAACATTTTTTTAAGTTTATTTGTTTTTGAGAGAGAGAGAGAGAGACGGAGAGGGAATGAGAACGAGCAGGGGAGGAAATCTGAAGCAGGCTCCGGACTCTGAGCTGTCAGCACCGAGTTTGAGATGTGGGGCTCAAACTCACAAACCATGAGATCATGACCTGAGCTGAAGTCAGACACTCAGTCAGCAGACTGAGCCACCCAGGCACCTCTGATAAAATTTCAGGGGCTTTCCAACCTCAGTGAAATTTCCAAAGGTGAAGGTTAAGTTTTTTCTTTTGGCCCCTCTTACAGCCAAAAAAGACCTAGTAGACCTCTTGGTTCTTCGGTGACAACATGTTCTTCATTTGGATGTGCTACTTTGGCTTATTCACTAAGTGACCTGAAAAAATGCTAGCTCTGAGTGGGGCCCAAAGCAACAGAAGATTCTACAACAGGTCCAGGCAGTCATTCAGAATGCCTGTTACTTGGGCCATATTATCCAGCAGATCCACTGGTGCTTGAAGTGTCTCATAGAGAGGTGGTGTTTGGGCCCTTTGGCAGGCTCCTGCAGGAATGGAGAGCAATAGTCTCTTCTTTTGATTTAATTTTAGAACCAGAACCTGAAGAACCTGATGACTTTCAAGAAGGTGAAAAACATGAAGAGACAGAGGAAGAAGGTAAGAAGGAAGAGGAAGAAGAAATAGAAATAAGTACGGAACAATCAACAATACCAGCCAATTTAGAACGACTTTGGTCCTTTTCCTGTGACTTAACCAAAGGCCTTAATGTGAGCAGCCTTGCCTGGAATAAAACAAATCCTGTAAGTTATTGAACATTTTAACAATTCTTTCTATAGTATTTAAGGGAAACTGTCAAGTACTAATGAAGTTTTTTTCCCTCAGATATTAAGCAAGGGATTTTATTTGATTTAAAATGAAGTTTTAACATACCTCTACAATAAGTTCATGTTTCAAAAAGTAGAAAATGGTTATAGCTATAAAATAATTTTTTCCTTTAATATGAAAATGTCATCATTTTAATTTTAGGAGATGTATTTGGGACACAGTAGTCTCTGAATCCGTATCAGATATTGAAAAGTGAACCAGATGATAACATCTAACTGATTTATTTTCAGATATATCAAATTCATGTACCCAAATGTAAATTCTTCTTAAAGTAATCACATTCAGAAATATATACTTAATCCAGTGACCCTGAAAATGTACAAGATAATTTTAGAAATTTCTTAAAATATTATTACTACCAGTAATAGCAAATATTGTAAGCATTTTACTTGTATTAAACGGGGACAAGGAAACTGAAGTACAAAAAATAAACAAATAAATAACTTGCCCAAAGTCACACGTCTCTTAAATGACCAGAGTAACACAACTAGTAAGTGAAACAGCTAGAATTCAGACTCAAACATCTGGATCCATAGTTCTTGCTCTTAATTACTGCACTGCCAAAAATCATCTTGAGCCAAATTATATGAATCATCAAGTTGGGGTATGGTATGTTTGCTTTTACAAAAGAGATAATTATAGAGTAATGAGACTTATTTTCTCCTGGCGTTTATAAACTGCTTCTGAAGACATGATTCTCAATTAGGGATTCCAAAACTCTTTTGTGTGATGACAATACCTTTGGAATCAATATTTTCTGTATTTTTAAAGTGGTTACAACTAATTGGTTTGTTAAAGCTGTATTGTATTATGTATGTTTAAGAATTAGCCTTATTATTTTACTGCCACATCTTATAAGGTACTATTGCAAATATACTAGTTGTTAATGGATTTAAAAAAATACAAACCCTAGTATCATCCTTATAGAAACCTAAGTAACGTATTATTTAAATTATGTATATTATTTTTAATAAAATAAAAATACTTTTAGTTAGTATGGATTGGTCCTTATAAACTATATTTGGAAACATCTTATAAGATAAGTGATACTCAATAAATCAATAATAAATGTGTAATAAAGACAGGTGAATCATTTTTAGAAACTGAATATTCCAGCATTTTTAAAGTTAATATATTGTTATTGAGATTAAAGTTAAATAATTGTTAATGAAGCTAAAAAAATGACGAATGGCATCTATTATATTTATTAATTCATTCTACAAATACTTATTGAACATTCACTCTGTACCAGGAACTCTAATAAGGCACTAGAGGAAACAGTAGTAATTTAGTCATACAAAGACCCTGCCTGTATAATAGTTCTCTCTGTGTTTTAATAAGGGAAATAAATAGTATTGTGAGAATGCATAAGAGGGGCGCCTGGGTGGCTCAGTCGGTTGGGTGTCTGACTTCGGCTCAGGTCATGATCTCATGGTTTGTGGGTTCGAGCCCCGCATCAGGCTCTGTACTGACAGCTAGCTCAGAGCCTGGAGGCTGCTTCAGATTCTGTGTCTCCTGCTCTCTCTGACCCTCCCCTGCTCACGCTGCCCCTCTCTCTTTCAGAAATAAATAAAACATTTAAAAAAATTTTTAAAAGAATACATAAGAGAGACTCATGAATGCTTTTTAGAGGAAGTGGTGCCTATGCTGAGTCTTGAAGTGATGAATAAAAGTTTGTTCATGTCAGCGTAAAAGGAATAGTGGTGAAGAGTGGTTTAAGGCAGAGGAAATTATAAAGAGATGGTATTGGCTTGAAACTAGGGTTACAGCAAAAAAATATATATTTTTGATAAAGGTATTCTGATTATAAAGAAGAGGTTGGGTTTGGTTAATCATCAAACTTTTGTCTTTATGCACTTATATAAGGACATCTTGAAATGACCTGCTTTATTAATCAGCTTGGGGTACTATAACAAGATACCATAGACTGGCTGGGTAAAGAAACAGAAATTTATTTTCAGGAAGCCAGGAAGTTTAGGATCATGGTGCTAGCTGATTTCATTACTGGTGAAGGTTCTCTTCGTATCTTGCAGATGGCCACCTTCTTGCTGCTTTCTTGCATGGTGGAGAGAGAGAGCTCTTTTTATAAGGCCACCAATCCTATTGGATTAACATTATGACCTTCATGACCTCATTTAATCTTGATTACCTCCTAAAAGCCCTTTCTTCAAATACAATCATGTTGGGGATTAGGACTTCCAACACATGAATTTTAGGAGAGGAGACACAATTCAGTTCATGGCACCCTGTCTTTATATTTGAAATAATTAGGTCATTCTCAGAAACCCATAATGTAGTAATATAAATTTGGAAAAATGTCTCAATATATGAAAGAACTTTTCAGCAATTGGTTCTTTTTAGTTATTCATCAGTCTGAAATATAGTTATTATTATTTTGCTTAGTAAGATGGAGATATAAAGTAAAAATAGATGGTATGCTGTTTTTTTTCTCAATAGGAATGCCATTTCTATTTTTAATATAGATCATTAATATGCATCTTTATATATTTCCCAATCTTTTTATGCTATCTTCTCTTATTTAAAACATATTTTTCTGATTTTCAGGACCTTTTGGCTGTTGGCTATGGGCACTTTGGATTTAGAGAGCAAAAAAGAGGATTGGCTTGCTGCTGGTCAATAAAGAATCCTATGGTAACGGATGGCCAATAGGAATAAACCCATTTTTAGTTAATTAAATGTTGACATAATTCTCATAAAGTAGATGTGTGTGGTAATTAAACAAAGTCAAAAAATTATCAAGGAAGACTTTATTTTCTTTGGTTTAAAGTCATAAGAATTAAAATTTATTCTTGTTGATATAAGGTAAACTAAATTCATTTAATAAATATTTATTGGGCACTTACTATGTGCTGTTAGATCTGATGACCCAGAATTGAACAATTATTTTTTATCATAAAGAAGAGGAAACTTTCTAGTGAAAATCCTTTAAAAATTATATGTTTCAGTTAACACTGAATTGTTTCTTAATTATGAATAACTCATCACCTCATAAGATAGATTTGTGCTGTCCTGAATACATATAAAATGGATGAATATGAATGACTATGTTATTAGTAAGAATTTTTCAAGGAGAATAATAAGAATCAGTTATTTTTTTTGTTAAACAGTTTTAGTCAATCTGTTACTTTGCAGCTTTACATTTAGTTTTAATTCATAACTGAAATGTGAAGTGGAAACCTTAGAAAAGGGTCAGGAGAGCAAAGTAAAAAAATGATTAGAGCTTTTATAAATAGCCTCAGTTTATTAGGAAGCTGGGTTTATATAGAATAAAAAAAAGGAAAGAAGAAACAATTTTAAAAATGTGGAAGTATTGATATAGGATCCATCATTGGTAAGTTGTCTTCTTTCCATATGGACTGCTAAAAGCAAGAAAGGATTTGGATTAGACTTTAAACAAAACAATAAAACTCTTCACAGAGTTGTCTAAAAGACTACCTTAGAGAGTTTTTTTGGAGCTTCCTCTATCCACTGTTTAGAAATATCTAGATAATTCAAGCCTCTGAAACAGATACGGGAAGATAGGAACATTGCTAGATAATTTGATTGGAGCCAATTATTTGTTTCTTAAAGAAGGCACATCTATGATGATCATACAAATCCCACTGAACGATTACCAAAATCTGGTAATTATTGGAGAAGGCCATGCTGTATTTCTTAAAAATATTGAGCTCTGAGAATGCATTAAAGGAAAGAGAATGACTAATTGACATTTTGGTTTCATCTATACTGGAAGTTAAGAAGACAGGAGTAACTTAATGTAGACTACCCCTTCTTACATTTCCACTGCCAGCAGACTAGTCTTAAGTCACCATTATATCCTATCTTACTATGGCCTGCAAAACCCAGTGTAAAATGTAATACAATTATTGTTTTTATTCAGTGGCCAGAGCGTATTTATCAGAGTCTACATGGAGTTACTGCTGTGGATTTCTCCATTGGAGCACCTAATCTTTTAGCCGTTGGCTATTACAATGGTACCATTGCAGTTTATAATGTACAGAGCAACAGTAATGTTCCAGTTCTGGACAGTAGGTGAGAATCCAAGAATTACATAAACATATAATATGTGCTTTTTTTTAAGGAGAACTAAAAATTTACTCTAATGTTATCTAATTTTGAGTGAATGTTTATGTTGTTATTGAAAGTGATACCATTACTTTTCAAACACTTAATAATTCCTCATACTTAATAATTCCTCATTTCAAACACTTAATAATTCCTGTCTCGCTGGAATGCTGTGTCCTAAAATCTGCATGTTCTCTGCCCACCTCACCACCCTTCCTTGACAGTTTATGTTCACTCTTTTAAAAAAATTTAAAAATTTCCCCAGCTTTATTGAGGTATAATTGAAAAATAAGAATTGTATATATTTAGGTTCTCTAATGTCATTTTTAAAACAAGTATGGGACACCTGGGTGGCTCAGTCGGTTAAGTGTCCGACTTTGGCTCAGATCATGATCTCACAGTTTGTGGGTTCGAGTCCCACGTCGGGCTCTGTGCTGGCAGCTAGCTCCGAGCCTAGAGCCTGTTTCAGATTCTGTATCTCCTTCTCTTTCTGACCCTCCCCTGTTCACGCTGTCTCTCTCTCTCACTCTCTCTCTCTCAGAAATAAATAAAACATAAAAAAATAGAAATAAAAGAGGTACAATGTAATTACTGAATATATGTATACACCGTGAAATGATTACCACAATCAAACTGATTAATACAATCATCACCTCACAGTTACCTTTTTGTTTGTGTGTGTGGTGAGAACACTTTGGATCTACTCTCTTAGCAAATTTTGAGGATATAGTACAGTATTATTAACGATGATCATCATGCTGTATGTTAGATCTCCTTTTCTTATTTGTCTTCTAACTGTTAAGTTTGTACCCTTTATTGCTTTGGCGTCACTCCTCCAAGAAACCTTCCCATTCCTTTCTTTTGTGCACTTGTGTAGTTATCACAGCACTCATCATGCTGTATATGTATTGTTTACATATATATTTTCCTGAAGAGGCTATAAGCAACTTGAAGTCAAGGATTAAGTCTTACCCTTTTATCTTCAGCATGTTGTATTGGGAATGTAACAGGATTACAGTTAAGTGAATAAGAATAAATAATGGATGAATGCATGAATGAATGAGTCATACTGAGAAAATAAAAATGTTAAAAGTGAAAGGTAGTGACTATGTTAGGATTTTATAATAGAACAAATACCAATGGGGCAAAAATGAAGTAGTATATTTATGTTAGTGTTTGAATAAACTTAGAGCTGAAAATAGGCATGAAAGCAGGGTCTGTAAGCTTCAATTTGAAATTGTCTGCATAGTTTTGTAAGCATGGGCATTTGTGCTTGTTTTACCAAATAATGCAAAGCTATATATGATTTTAAAAAGATTCAGAACTATTGCTTTGGAAGGTTTGCATAAAAAAATCAAGGACTAGGAGCAGAGAAACCCATTATTCTGACAGAAAAACAGTCACTAATCTGCGAAGTGATTTTAATTCTTCAGAGAAATGTTAAATCAGCCATAGAGAGAATCAAGCCAATGGGCAGACCTGAGACATAGAAAGGTAAGGTGATTGTTTACTTAAATAAGACTTAAATAATTTATCCATTTGAGCTATGAAAAAATTCTTATAAAGCTGAAGATACTTATTTTTAACGTGTCCAAAGTAAATTAACGCAACTTATCTAGGAAAAAGTAAATGAATAGAGTAAGGGAAAGTATATTCTGAAAAGAAAGAAAATTTTTGCTTTTCTGTTTTTCTTCTATTATAACAGTTAATATAATTAAAGGTAGTAAAAGTTTCCTTTTGTAAGAAATGAAAAAAAAAAAACAAAAAGCATTAGGTGACAAAATGATTATTTTCCCTGTTTTTCAAAAATACTTTTCCTAAAGTAAAAGTCCAGTTTTGAACAATAAAGGCATCATTCTTTAAGTAGGTCACAGTGCTCCAGGGAGCCGTCCTTATGACTTACACTCCTGTGCTTTTAAAAATTATGACAATGATTCTATATTTAGTGCTTTTCTCTGTTTTAGTGAATCACCTCAAAAACATTTGGGACCTGTATGGCAACTACAGTGGATAGAACAAGATCGAGGGACAACAGGAGATGACAAAAGAGAAATACTAGTTTCTATATCAGCAGATGGAAGAATCTCCAAATGGGTTATACGGAAAGGACTGGACTGTCATGGTAAAAAGAACAAATACATACACACATATATATCAAATTACTTTCTTTTTATTATGTGCTGACTTCAAATTCCTAGTGAGCCACATAAGAGGCGATGAATGTTGCTTTGGCTACATAAGAAAAATGAGCTTGCTCATTGTTTTTCTCATTGGTATTTGCTAATTTGAACCTAATCACATGCAAAAGATGGCAGAACTCATCTTGTAGGAGGGACATACATTATATACACAATCCTTTTTCATGTGGTAAGTAAGATATGTATTTTCTTCTTTAAATAAAGATTTGATGCGTTTGAAGCGAACTACTTCTAGCAGCAGCAAGAAAGGAGCGGAAAAGGAAAAGAAAGGTGAAGCTCTGATATCTCGACAGGCCCCTGGACTTTGTTTCGCTTTTCATCCTAAGGTAAATTATTCCAATCCATTCTTTACTATTGCATACGACCACTTCCAATAACTGAAGTGTAGTAAGACATAAAGCGAGACAAAGGTTTAGCATGTTAGTCAATATTGTGCCTTGTAGGTAAAAATAAAACAAACATAGACATAGCTGCCAAACGAAGGTGGAGAGGCACATCCCAGTTAGTTGTTCTGTGTCTTTATCTGCTTTCAAGAGGAAAGGTCTACATTTCTGAGGAACTGTGGAAGGATTCTTTTTACAACTTCATGTTTAGCTTGAGTGCTTTATCATATTGATAGAAACCGAATCTACCATACAGTCCCCTATTTCAGTGTGAGTGGTGAGTCTCATGACAATGAGGATTAGGAAGACTAGTTAAGTTCATGGTTATCAAGACCAGAATCAAATCAAAGCACAATTAATGAAACTCTGCTTTTTCTAATTCTTTTTATCTGCAAGTACTTGGAACCAGAAAATTCAGCAACTATGACAGACTTCTAAGGAACTATATTCTATATATTTTCTGTTATATGTGGTGTAGTCATCTTTTTTGTGACAGCATCATCCACCTAATTATGCAAACCAGAATTTGAGCTCCTACTTTGTTCTCCTCTATCATCCAAAGACTGTTTAAGTCTTATTGTCCTTTCAGTCCAAGCCTACTACTGCTAATGTAGTTCAGGCCTTTATTGTGTTTCATATTTACCACCGCAGTTGTATTCTAACTGCCTTCATTCTCAAATTCTTGTAATCCACATTTCACCTTGATTCTAGAACAGTGCTTCTCAACGTGGGCAGGGAGGGGAATATTTTATCACTAAGGCGTATTTCAAAATGTCTTGAAATATTTTTAGTTGTTGCAGCTATAGGAGGTGGGGCATGGGAAGGAACACTATTGGCGTCTAGTAGGCAGAGGCCAGGGATGCTGCTAACCATCCTACAGTGCACATGACAACTACTGCCCTCCTCCAAAAGAAGATGGGAAAGAGGAAGAAAAGGGGCAAGGAGAAAGAGAAGGAGAGGGGGAAGGGGAAGGAGAAAGAGAAGAGGAGAAAAAAAAGAAGGAAAAGGGGAGGGAGAGGGGGAGGGACTGGCCCAAAATATCAATGGTGCTGGGTTGAGAAATCCTAGTCTGGTATCTGAGAAATGTCCTTGGCATGAAGAATTTGAGATAATTATATAGTGTGTAAATAAAGAGTTTTACTTCTTCTTTTCTAATCTGGTTATCTTTTCTTTCCTGATTGTACTGCCTTGAACATCCAGCACAATGATGAATAGAAGTGGTGAAAACAAACATCCCTCTCTTGTTTCTTATCTTAGGAAGAAAGCATTCAGTCCTTTTACTGTATTCATCCTTATTCATACTTTTACAAGTATGTAAGCTGAGATTTTTATTTTGTAGATGTAATTAATCGCATCAAGGAGATCCCATTACTTTACTGTTTGTTGAGAGTTTTATTGAGGATAGATGTTAGGTTTTTGTCAAATGCTTTCTTTACATCGAGATGATTATACAGTTTTTCTTTTTAAGTTTGTTATTATGGTGAATTACATTAAATTTTTAAATGTTTGTTTCTAAAATAAATCCCATTTGATCATGATTTATACTTTTAATCTACCATTGGATTTGATGTGCTAAAATTTTGTTTAGGAGTTTTCATCTTTGTTTATAAGGGATAGCCATCTATAGTTTTCTTTACTTGTTATGTCTTTGTCTGGTTTTGATATTAGGGTAATCCTGTAGAATGAGTTGAAAAGTATTCCCTCTTTACTTTTTTGAAAGAATATGTATACAATTAGTATTATTTCTTCATTACATGTTTGATGGGATTAATAAACCACCTGGGCCTGGAATTTTCTTTTAGGAAGATTTTTAACTTTTATCTAGAAATTCAAATTTTTAGTAGATATAGGACTATTATTATTGTTATCTATTTCTTCTTGAGTGCATCTTGATAATTTGTGTCTTTCAAGGAATTTATTTCATCTAAATTATTAAACGTAGTGGCATCATAATAATTCCTTAGTATTCTTTAATAGACATTCAAGTATATAATGATGTCACCTCTTTAATTCCTACTGTTGGTAATTTGTGTCTTCTCCTTTTTGTCTTTAGTCTAGCTAAAGTTTATCAATGCTATTGATCTCAAATAACCAGCTTTTGATTTCTCTGAATTTCATGATTGTTTTTTCTATTTTCTATAAAATTGATTTCCACTTTGATCTTTATTTTCTTTCTTCTGCTTTGGTTTTATTTACTCCTCTTTTTATGGCTTCTTAAGGTGGAAGCTGGGATTATTGATTCATTACTTTTCTTCTTTTTGATGGAGGCATTTGTGCTCTAACTTTTTCTCTAAGTACTGTTCTGGCAACATCCCACAAACTCTAATATGTTGTATTTTGATTTCATTCCATTCAGAATACTTTCTAATTTCTCCTTTATTTTTTGATTGATGGACTATTTAGTAGCATGTTATTTAGTGTTTTAATATTTAGGGCTTTTCCAAGTATCTTTCTGTTTATTGATTTCTAGTTCAATTCTATCATGATCAGAGAACAAATTTAATAAACTGAATCCTTTTGAATTTATTGAGATTTGGTTTAAGCCCAGAATTGTGACATTTGCATGTAAATGTTCCCTGTGTACTTCAAAAAAATGTATATTCTGCTGTTCTTGGGTGGAGTATGCTATGGATGACAATCAGCTTAGGTTGGTTGAAGGTGTTTTCCAAGTTGACTGTATCCTTTCTGATTTTCTGCCTACCTCTCCATCAATTATTGACAGAGAGGTATTGACGTGTCTGGCCCTAATTATGGATTTTTCTGTTGTTGTTGTTGTTTTTTTTTTTTTTTTTTTTTTTTTACTGTGATTCCATCAGGTTTTGCTTTATGTAGCTTGAAGCTTTGTCTTAGGTATATAAATGTTTAGGATTATTATATTCTCTTGATTACTCAACTCTCTTATTATTGTAAAGTAGCCTTATTTATAACTGGTAATATTAACTCTGAAATAATCTGAATCTGATATTAATGTAACCACCTCAGCTTTCTTTTAACCAGTGTTAGCATGGTTTATTTTTTCCTTTTATTAAGTTTTTATTTAAATTGCAGTTAGTTAACATACAGTGTTTCAGGTGTAGAATTTAGTGATTCAACACTTACAGACAACATATGGTGCTTATTACAACAAGTGTCCTCCTTAATACCCATCACCTATTTAACCCACCCTGCTACCCAGCTCCCCTCTGGAAAGCATCAGTTTGTTCTCTGTAGCTAAGACTCTGTTTCTTGATTTTTTTTTCTCTCTCTCCCCTGGCCTATGTTTATTTGTTTTGTTTATTAAATCATTTTCTATCCTTTCACATTTTTTTAACTTAAAATTTTTTTTAATGTTTATTTATTTTTGAGACAGAGAGAGACAGAACTTGAGGCAGGGAGGGGCAGAGAGAAAGGGAGACACAGAATCTGAAGCAGGCTCCGGGCCCCAAGCTGTCAGCACAGAGCCCGATGGGGCTCAAACCCATGAACTGTGAGATCATGACCTGAGCCAAAGTTGGACACTTAACCGACTGAGCCACTCATGCACCCCAGTCCTTTCACATTTAACCTACTGTGTCTCTATATTTAAAGTATATTTCTTATTGGTAGCCTATCGTTGGGTCTTGCTTTTTTATCCATCTTATATTTTCTGTCTTTTAATTGTGATATTTAGACCATTTACATTTAGTTTTATTTTGTTATGGTTTGGTTTGAGTCAATCATTTTGTTTCAAAATGAGCCCTGTGTTGCAACTGCATTATAGTCAATGTAAATCTCTGCCCATATTGATTCTTTCAAAGAAATTATTCCTGAGAGAACTCCCCAATAAATTTGTCGCATGGAAATCTCAGAGTTTACATACTGACAAAAACAACTCTAGACAGTGACCTTGAAGATCTCTATAGAAAGATAAGTGACTTATAAATGGTGTTGGAATAATAATTATTCACATAAAAATGGAATTAGATACCTACCCCTTCATAAACAAAAAAATTTTAGATGAAAATGTAGGAAAACATTTCTATTACCTCAAAAAAGGAAAAATTTCTTAAAGCAGAAAAAAATGCTAGGTATATAAAAAAAATTATAATACTAGCTACATCAAAATGAAAACTTCTGTTTATCAAGACAATAAAAAAGTAAAAGGAAAGACATACACTTGAAGAAGATATTTGCAATACATGTAATAGGATACATAAAGAACCTTTATATAAATGAATATAAAAATATTATGAGTAAAATTAGTCAAGAGACATAAACAGAAGAGGAAATACAAATAGCCAGTAAACATAAAATGTGCTCAATCGTGTTAATATTCATATAATATTCATATAAATAAATTCATATTCATTTAAATTCATATACCATTAGGTTAAATTTTATATCTAATATAATGGCAAAATTTCAGATTTCTAAGCAACCAACCATTGAAGAGAATGTGGATTAAAGGGAACTTCTGTATACTGCTGAATATAAATTGGTAATACTAGTTTGGGGAAAAATTGTACCTTATTGTGTTATTTAAAACTGCTTATATTCCATGATTTTGTAGTTGCATTCATTAGCAGTGGTACATGCTAGAACAGAGTGTCTCAAATTTTAATGTGCATACACGTTATTTGAGGGTCTTGTTAAAATGCAGATTCTGATTCAGTAGGTCTGGGGTAGCATCTGAGATTTGACAGGTGATACTGACTCCACATAGCCAGGACATAGAGCCTGACTTTCAGACCTTTTGACTATGACTTCACAGTAGGAAATACACTTAAAATCTCTATTTAGTACATACTTATGGAGTTACAAATGCTTGAGACTCCATTTAGTTCAATCTTTCATACCTAGCAAAAACAATTTCTTCAACATCATATACATAAATATCATAAAAGAATGATAGAAAGTAAAAGACAACAGACAACTATTTATCAAGATAATTTTTCTAGTTTTGGTTCTTGAATTGATTTTAATAGATTTTGAGGGATCTGATTTTTTTTTTTGAAGTTAATTTATTTTTGAGAGAGAGCATAGGGGAGGGGCAGAAAGAGAGGAAGACAGAAGATCTGAATTGGGCTCTGCACTGACAGCAGAAAACCCCATTCAGTACTTGAACTTATGAACCATGAGATCATGACCCGAACCAAAGTTGGACACTTAACCAACTGAGCCATTCAGGTGCCCCAAAGGATATGATTTTCTACGTAGCACATTTACTAATCTATCACAAGCCAATATATTTTAATATTTTGTGTTGCAGGATACAAATATCTATTTGGCTGGCACTGAAGAAGGTCATATTCACAAATGTTCTTGTTCGTATAATGAACAATACTTAGAAACCTACAGGGGACATAAGGTTAGTTTAATAACAGTAGGTATGAAAAATGTGTCTTTTAATATTTCTAAAAAAATAGTATTTTTATACACACTATTTTTCACATGCAATAAATTTACAACTTCAGAGTTAATATTACCAACTTGAATTAAGTATTTTTTTTGGTATGGAAATCATCATAATGTGTGGGGCATTTTATTTGGCTTCCAGGTAGTCTTGATTTTTTCTTGCCAGTTATGGAAGTCACAATTTTTATTTGTTTCTGAAAGACTTTGCTTATGATAACATGCTGATTCCAAAGTAAAACTGTCTCTGGCATATACTTATTTTCTCTATCTTTTGTGATTGTTCCTTCCATGTTATCTTCATTTTCTCCCTTATTTCTGTTTCTTAATCATTATATTTTTAAAAAGTAAATAAAGTATTATATGTATTAATATTTAGTTAGTATTGTAACAACTATATTTTTACATTTCTGTATGGCATAACTTAGGGAAGATTCAAATTATGACCTTACTCTGAGCTAAAATAATACACAGTGATACATGGTACATAAATCTAGAAATCTTAGCATTTTTAATTTGTTGGTCAAGTTTAATTTGATTTTAACTATTATTTACCTATGTATTTTAATTTGTTTTTCTAATTCTAGGGTCCAGTGTATAAAATAGCATGGAATCCATTTTGTCACGATGTGTTCTTGAGCTGTTCTGCAGATTGGGGTGTTATTATATGGCAACAGGAGAATTCGAAGCCATTTTTGAGTTTTTATCCAACTACTTATGTTGTTCATGATATTGCCTGGTCTCCAAAATCAGCTTATATATTTGCAGCTGCAAATGAGAGCAGAGTAGAGATTTGGGACCTTCATATCAGCATGTAAGTGTTAATGTTTTTCCTGGTGATATTTCTCATAGAAGCAGTTCAAACTAAATGATACCTGATAGTTTTGGTATTTGTTAGAGAGCATTGTGGTTACTTTAGAACAAGCAATAGTTTACACGGTGAGAGTCCTTTGTGAATAAAAGATATATGCTAGGATGCTATATTCATTTTAATTACTTATGCCATATGTGGTTTTAAAAATATTTAAAAAGGTTACCTTAATCATATCAGACTTTTACAGGAGGATATAAGATATCATAGCTACCTTGAATTCTTTTTCATTGCCTAGTTTATAGAAGAATGCAGAGAGGCAACTAGCTGTTTTTAACTAAAGATTGTTTGCAATCAGGTAAAGAAAGGAAACAAAATAATTATTTTTTAAAATACTTATTCTCTTACCTTTTTTAAAACATATACAAAAGGCCATGATTTAATAAAAAGTTTTAATTTAAGGTGTAGACCAAAGTTATTAGAGTGTCATCTAGGCCCATGTTTTCTTTTTAAAATGAACATTTATACAATGCAGGAATAAAATGTTTAATGATTCTATTTCCTCAGTTGGAAAATACTGTAGAGTTTTATGCTAGTTATTAGCAGAAACATGAGGGCATTACAGTCTTGCTTCAAATAAGTGATATAAAATTCAATGGGTTTATTCTTTTTTTAAAAAAAGTTATTTATTTATTTTGAGAGAGTGTGTGTGTGTGTAAGCAGAGGAGGAGCAGAGAGAGAGGGAGTCAGAGATCCCAAGCACACTCCATGCCTTTAGCACAGAGCCTAATATGGGGCTCTGAGATCATGAGCCTGAGCCAAATCCTGAGATCATGACCTGAGCCAAAACCAAGAGTCTGACACCCAACCAACTGAGCCACCCAGGCTCCCCTCAATGGGTTTGTTCTTGATGACAATTTTTTATCCTATAAGTTAATAATATAATAACTCTAAAATTTTGTCATGGCTAATACTATAAAACAGTTTGAACCCCAAACCAAGGATTATATCACAAAGCAATTTATTTTTTTGTATGAGATGACTAATGTATAAAATGACTACTTAACTCATCTCGCTCCTGATTTTAATTTTTTTGGTAAAACTCAATCTCAGGACATTTCTTCAGAAGTAGGCAAGCTTCTGCCTCGGTTTTGTTTTTTTTTTTTAAGTTTAGTTATTTTTGAGAGAGAGAGACAGACAGACAGACAGACAGAGACAGAGCACAAGTGGGGGAAGGGCAGAGAGAGAGGGAGACCGAATACAAAGCAGGCTCCAGGCTCTGAGTTGTCATGCATATCCCAATGCAGGCCTCGAATCCACAAACAGCGAGACCATGACCTGAGCCAAAGTTGGACACTTAAGCCACTGAGCCACCCAGGCGCCCCCGCTTCTGTTGTTTTTTAAGGATATTGGTGGATTGCTTTGGATGACAAGGAATAAAGAGAGTTCTTGTTCAAAATATTCTTTTATATTCCAGAGGTTCATTTGGGTCAAAATATCCTTCTATTAAAAAACATTTATTACTTAAGAAGTTGTATTATTCAGGGTTCTCCAGAGAAACAGTAGCAATAAAAAGAGAGAAAGAGATTTACTTTAAGGAATTGGGTCACATGACTGTGGCGCCTGGCAAGTGTCAAGTCTGCACCATAGTCTGGTGGGCTATAATTTCCATCAGGAGTCCATCTTGCAATCTTGAGTCTGAGTCTGGAGGCAGAATTTTATTCTACTTTGGGGAAATCAGTCTTTTCTCTTAAGGTCTTCAACACATTGAATAAGGTCTGCCTACATTATGGAGCATAGTGTGGTTTATTTAAATTCTACTGATCTAAATGTTAATCATAACTAAACAAAATACCTTCATGGCAAAGTGTAGACTGATGTTTGACCTTGTAAACAACTGAGTACCATAGCCTAGCCAAGTAAATACATAAAGTTAACCAGCATAGGAGTTTAAATTTGTGAGTTCACATCTTTTTTTTTAAAGTTTATTTATTTATTTTTGAGAGAGAGAGGGAGAGTGAGAAAGAGAGAGTGAGCATGAGCAGGAGAGAGAGGAGGAAAGGAGAGAGAGAGAATCTTAAGCAGGCTCCACGCTCAGCTGGAGCCTGACACAGGGCTTGATCCCAAGACCATGAGACCATGATCTGAGCCAAAACCAAGAGTCGGATGCTCAACTGACTGAGCCATCCAGGCGCCCCATGAGTTCACATCTTAATTGTGACTTGCTTGGATTTATTTAATAGAAATTTGTTCACTAAAGAAGTGAAAGTTTTCACTGAATAAGGAGTAGAGAAGCAGTTATTTTGACTTTGAAAATTTACTTAAGAAACTTTTGTTTTGTTTTTGTCACATGAAATCACATAAAACATCTCAGACTTTTCTTAATCTGTATATAAAAAGAATATAATAACAACAAATACATTTACAAATAAAATATTTTATTGCAGTTTGGATCCTCTGATTGTGAATGTTGCTAACCCTGGAATTAAGTTCACAACTGTCCTCTTTGCCAAAGAAACAGATTGCCTTCTAGTGGGTGACAGTGATGGACAGGTTGGTGTGTATGAACTAAGAAATATGCCCACTGCTTTGGATTCTGGCCGGGTAAGACTCAAAAGTCAAAATTTTGTATAATTTAATAATTTTAGTTGTGGGGTGCCTGGGTGGCTCAGTTAGTTGAGCGTCCGACTTGCTCAGGTCATGATCTCATGGTTCGTGTGTTCGAGCACTGTGTCGGGCTCTGTGCTGACAGCTGGCTCAGAGTCTGGAGCCTGCTTCGGACTCTGTATCTCCCTCTCTCTCTGACCCTCCCCTGCTCATGCTGTCTCCCTCTCAGAAATAAATAAAACATTAAAAAAAATTTTTAAAAATAATAATAATTTTAGTTGTAATTTTGTGTCATACAAGGAATTTACATTTCTTAAATATCTTAAGTGTGGTGCAATGGAAAGAACATAAAACCCAAGCGTTTCTACCAAGCATGGTATCTACTAGGCTTATTTCCTTTGAGCCTCATTTTTTTTCCTCTGTAATATGAACACAAAAATGCTGTAGCATAATAATTGTAAATGCTAAATGGAATAACTTAAAATTGTGCCTAATATACTGTTGGGACTTAATAATTGTTGAATATAGAAGAAGTTTACTGCAAATATTCAAAGACTTTTACAAGAAATTATAATATTTTAGATATTATCCAATGTTCCTGAAATAAGCATTTGTTTTTGTTTCTGTCGTGTTATCCTACTTCCTTACTTTGATCTTCAAAACTAAAAGGCAACTGAAAGGGAGAATATATTTGCAAATGACATATCGGTTAAAGGGTTAGTATCCAAAATCTATAAAGAACTTATAAAATTCAACACCCAAAAAACAAATAATCCAGTGAAGAAATGAGCAGAAAAAATGAATAGACACTTTTCGAAAGAAAACATCCAGATGGCTAAGAGACACATGAAAAATGCTCCACATCACCCATCATCAGGAAAACACAAATCAAAACCACAATGAGATGCCACCTCACACCTGTCAGAATGGCTAAAATTAAGAACTCGGGAAACAACAGATGTTGATGAGGATGTAGAGAAAGGGAACACTTTTGCACTGCTGGTGGGAATGCAAACCGGTGCAGTTTGGAAAACAGTATGTAGATTCCTCAAAAAATTAAAAAATAGAATTAACCCTATGACCCAGCAATAGAACTACTAGGTATTTATCCAAAGGACACCAAAATATGGGTTTGAGGGGACACAGGCACCCCAGTGTTTATAGCAGCACTATCATATCGACTGACGAGTGATTAAAGAAGATGTGGGATATATATTTTAAAAAGGAAAAAAAATTAAAGAAAACAGAAAAAACAAATAGAAAACTTTGTTGCAAAACTTTGACAAGCAATCCATATTACCAGATCCTATTATTTCTAAGGTAGCTGTTCAATTTTTAATTTTTTAATGTTTAAATATTATTTTATGGAGTAATCTGGTATATATTACCAAGAATATGATAAACATGTTAAAAATATTTAAAATATGCACGAATCAACAAGGAAAAAATACTAAGACTACAATAGAAGACTGGGTAATGGTCAGGAACAGTTCATTTACACACAAAAAAGACTAATAAATATACTTTAAAATTAAACCTCATTGGGGCGCCTGGGTGGCTTAGTTGGTTAAGCGTCCGGCTTTCGCTTAGGTCGTGATCTCGCGGTTTGTGGGTTCGAGCCCCGCGTCGGGCTCTGTGCTGACTGCCAGCTCAGAGCCTGGAGCCTGTTTCAGTCTGTGACTCCCTCTCTCTCTGACCCTCCCCTGCTCACGTTGTCTCTCTCTCTCTCTCTCCTAGAAATAAATAAAACATTAAAAAAAATAAATTAAAAAAAAATTAAACCTCATTGATAAATGAAGAAATAAAATGTATTACATTAAATTAAAATGTGATTGCATTCTCATATATGACATTAACAAAGTTTTTTTTTTTAACTTAATAGGTGTACTCAGTACTAGCAACATTTGATAAACAGGTTTTCTCTTAAATAGAGAAATGTTGGAATAGAATTTGGTATAACTTCTTTGGAAGCAATTTGGCAATCTGAACCAAGACTGTCATATTTTTGAAATTCTGGTCTATAAAAATATTCATAAAGACAATCAAATAAATTAATTATAACAGTTTAGGATAAGAAAAGAAAAAGAAAGAAAAAGAACATAATCTAAATATCCAACCAGAGGGAAATGTGGCCAGGGAAGTCAGCTGTGTTAGATTTGGGTCACATGTAGCAGGTGGAGTTTTACCCCATGAGGGGCTATATGATAGATAGATAGATAGATAGATAGATAGATAGATAGATAGACAGACAGATAGATAGATGCATGCTTTGGATGTTGTATTTGTCATTTCTGCTACCTAACATCCAGAGATTGATCTCCTACCCACTTCAAGTTTTTGCTCAAATATCAGTCACTTTCTTGGTGAAATCTTCCTGGCTACCTTATTTAAAATTGAATCTCTACTCTCACCTACACTTCTTATCTCATACTTTTCTATGTTTCTTTTTTGTAATAACATTTATCTTTGAATATACCATATTCCTTATTGATTTATTTTGTTAATTGCCTGTCTCCCACAGCTGGGATGTAAGCCACATAGAAACAGTGAATTTTGTCTCTTTTGTTTGTAAAAACATAAAGATTTTTTCCTAAAATGCATGTTTCCATACATCATAATTTTAGTCTGTTCTGAGAAATGCAGCACTAATGGCTTGTTTTTCATGATGTAAGCATTTTAATATTTTTAATTTCTCTCACATTCATTGAGTATAATACCTTTTAGGGTACTGGTGCATTTATGCCCATACTTGTTTATGATACACAGTTCAACAGCCAGAAGGAACTAGAGAATTCTATTCTTTATTCAAGTCTCTCAAAAACATTAAAATGGATCCAAATATACAGTTAATGGTAATCTTTTTCTTCTTCTTTACTTATCCCTCAAATCCTAAATGTAACCTCAAGGCCTAAATCCATTGCTTTCTATCCCTGTGATTCCATCAGCTCCATCCCACAAAAGCCCTAAGAACTCACCCACAAATTCCAAACTTGGGGCAGTGAGGAGAGGGAGTTGCATTATTTAAAAATCTTTGCAAAAAAATAAATAAATAAAATAAAAGTCTTTGCTAATGTGTGCTGGGCTGGTGGTAGCAGAGAAACCTAGGAGTATTAGCATGTTGATTCTTTTTATTCACATATGTCTACAGTACTTGTCAAGTGTGACAATAATTTATCAATATAAACTATAATATTTTGTACACATGTCTTTCATACTAGTTTGAGCTAATTGGAAACTTGTATATTTAAATATCTAGCACAGAGCTAGCACATAATAGGTACTCAGCAAATATTGAAAAGTGAACAAACACACTTAGAAACAAAAGACACATGGTTTATATGAAAGGAACAATGTATGCACAAAAATATAATCAAGTCATAAAAACCAAAATAACAAAATCCTATAGAAGCATAGAGTAGGAAAATTGGCTTTTGAAAAGAGAATGGGGAAAAAGGAAAAGAAAAAATAGGCGAATACTTTGGGGAAGACTTTCACACAGGAGATTAAACTTTAACTGTATTTTGAAGGATTAGAAATTTTCTTTGCAGGGGCACCTGGCTGGCTCAGTTGGTTGACTGAACAACTCTTGGTTTCGGTTCAGGTGATGATCTCGTGAGATCCAGCCCTGCATCGGGATATGCGATGACAGCATGGAACCTGCTTGAGATTCTCTCTTTGCCCCTCTCTCTGGCCCTCCCCTGCTCATGCTCTCTCTCTCAAAATAAATAAGTAAACTTTTTTTAAAAAAAGGAAATTTTCCTTGCAGACAGGCGTGAGGGAAACGCTTGAGCAAAGGTATAGAATTAGAAAGGTCCATGACATTTTGAGGAAATGGTGAGTAGACTTTTTTGACTGGTAAAGAGATTGCTTGAGAGAAAAGGGCCAGTTGGGTCATTTGCCATGATGTGGAATTTGATCCTTATTTTCTAGAAAATAGAAAACCATTTAAGATTTATAACTCTAAAAATGATATGGTGACAAAATAAAATTAGACGCCTATCTCACATGTTGTACAATGGTGAACTCCGATAGAATTGAAGACTGAAAAATAAAACAAACTATTAGAAGAAAGTGTAGGATAATGTCTTAATGATCTAAAGGCAGATTTTAAAAAGACCAAAAAATCTCCTGATTTTTCCCATTTTTTCCCTGTTTCCTTATTTGTAAGATGAGTATAATTTTGGTACCAGAATCAAAGGTTATTAGAAACATTAGAAGAGTAAATAGGTACAAAGTGGTTAGAACTGGTACTGGTGCATAGTAAGTGCTCAATAAACCTCAAGTATTCTTTCTATGATTACTATGTCAAAATTAACACTTTCTGTTCAGGATTCCATATGTCAAGTTAAAAGAAACAGATTAGAAGAAGAAAAATCTAAGATTATAAAAGACATAGTGTCCAGTATATATAGATAACTCCTATTAAACAATAAGAGCAATTCAATGTTTTGAATGGGCAAATGTATAAAATACTAAATCATAGGAGAGAGACTGGAATATTAATTCTCACAAGTAATGGAGAAATATACAATTGAAATTATACAAGGTATCAATTCAAACTGATTGGATTTACAAAAATGAAAATATTAGCCAATATTAAATATTAGCAAAGTTGTAGGGAAATAGGAGCTCTTATGCAAGGGTCTTGGGAATATGAATTAGCATAGATTCTTTTTTTTTTTTAATGTTTTATTTTATTTTTTTGAGAGAGAGAGACAAAGTGCAAGCAAGGGGAGAGACAGAGAGAGAGGAAGACACAGAATCTGAAGCAGACTCCAGGCTATGAGCTATCAGCACAGAGCCCGACGCAGGGTTCGAACTCAGGAACTGTGAGATCATGACCTGAGCTGAAGTTGGACACTTAACTGATTAAGACACCCAGACGCCCCTAGCATAGGCTCTTCAGAGAGTGATTCAGTAAAACTTAGAATTCAAATACCATACAAAGCAGTGAAACCATAGAGAATGTCATGCACATGTATATTTGGACACATGTA